TCAGAGGCAATTGTTAACGTGATAGTTTTATGGACCTACCATCCTATTGAAGAAGATTGGCAAGTTATGGATTATCAGAGGTAATTGTTAACGTGATAGTTTTATGAACCTGTCATCCTATTGAAGAGGATTGGTAAGTTGGTGGACTATCAGAGGTAAATGTTAACGTGATAGTTTTGATAGGTTTCATGGTTGACAGAGGTATTCTATTGAATATGACAACTCAGAAAATTTATTACTCATAATCCAATGAACTACAAATAAATCAACCCACGGTCTTAAACAAGTGCAGGAGAAAAAAGGATAGACATGGTACATCGCTTAGTGGGCCACTATATAACGAGTTTGGCTATCAGAGGTAACTGTTAACGTGATAGTTGTTGGACCTACCATCCTACTAAAGAGGATTAGCTTCAGTGGTCGTGGTATCTTCCCCTTCTGACTGAGAAGATTAGGCTTGGTCCGATTATTCAGGTTGATCCTACCTACTTTGTTCTTCAGCTTTGACCCTGACAATATTTTTTTGAGCATGTTCACCTTAAGAAATTAGTTATCTCTAGGAACGACATTCTACAACCCTCATTTGTGCACTTTTGGATACATCCCGCAGGCAGTTTCCTGAATCATTCAAAGACAACTCACTTGAGGGTGCTAATGAACAATTGAGCCAGTATGGCGTCATTTGATATCACATTCCCAGTCTGTGACTTAAAATGATTGATATGTTGGTTCGGTGATCCTGTGCTATCAAACGTTTGTTGCGTCGGGACCTCAAATTTTGGAGGATAAGGGGTTGCATCCTATTCGGCAGGATAGGACCTGACAACTCCCTCTTCTTGGAGCTTATTTCTGTTAGCAATAGCATTAAGGCGGGCTTCCAATTCTTCCATTTTAGCCGATTGAGTATTATGCTCATTCTCGACTTCTTTCTCTACTTCAGATGAAGAGACTATGTGATGAGCTTCTTGATCAGAGGTCTTGTTCACTTTTTGTTTCACCTTCGATGTGGACGATCTTCCTTTCCGGGAGGATTCTTGCCGAGGTTGCGACTCAACTTTTTCGAAATTGGCTCTATTGGCAATGATCTGAGCCATCATATCCTGAATTTGATTAATGGTTTCCTGCTGTGCTCGGAGCATGGTATCCTGCTCAGCAACGCTCTTTGAAAGATCTTCAGAATGTTCTGCCATGTGGACGAAGCTCTCATGCCCAGCGAAAGAGCTTGATGATTGGGACTCCACAATAGCTGAGTGTTCATCATCGGAATTGGTTTCTCTGGCTAACATCTGATAGTTAACAGGGGGAATGGCTCCCGTTTGAGTCTGAGTGTGTCACTAGACTCCTTCAAACTCGTCAGTGATTTTTCTGACGGTCGGTGAACAACTTGTCTCAGAGTCATCGGAGCTAGGGACTGATGATCTTCCTCTGCCGATCATGTTAGAAGTGACTCCAAGGTATTCATCCTCCGAAGTCTTCTTCTTGTGAGAATGTCGGTTGAACATCGACAAATTGACTGCGCATGAGCAAAACCGGCATCTCAAGAGGACCTTAGGAATCAGTCATTCACATTAGAATAAGCGAATGACTTGTTGCATCGGTCTTTCTCTCGATATGAACACTCTCAAATCTATTGCATCTGTCAGATTGTAACTTCTATCTTCGGTATTTGATGAGGATTAGCTATCTGTTATGATTTTTAGATAGCCTACACTCCCCAGTTTAAGCTATTAGCTAAGATAACATCTATTTTAGTTGAGGACCGTGAATACATGTCCAAAGTTCAATATGCCAATACTGTGGGTAGCTTGATGTACGCAATGGTGTGTACAAGGCCAGATTTGTCACAGGACATGAGCATGGTGTATAGGTACATGCACGACCACGGGAAGGGTTATTAGGAGGCTGTGAAGTGGATCTTATGGTATATCAAAGGTACTATGGATGTTGATTTGGTGTTTGAGAAGAATAGGAGAAATGGGCAGGATTGTGTTGGATATGTGGATTCAGATTATGCTGGGAATCTTGACAAGTGCCGGTCTACTACTGGATATGTGTTTACACTAGTAAGAGCACCAGTGTGTTGGAGATATATACTTCATTCTATAGTGGCTCTTTCCACTACGGAGACAGAGTATATAACATTGACTTAAGCTGTGAAGGAAGCTTTATGGTTGCAGGGGTTATTGGATGACTTAGGGACTACACAGGATACTATCAGGGTAAATGTGATAGCATATCAGCTATCTATTTAGCAAAGAACCAGGTGTATCATACCTGACAAAGCACATTAATGCCAAGTTCCATTTTGTACGAGATGTCTTGGATGATGGAAGACATTAAACTAGAGAAGATCCACACAAAGGACAATCTGGCAGATATGTTGACTAAAATTGTCACTGAGGTAAAATTTAGTCATTGTTTAGAATTGTTGAACATTCTTCGTTGTTGAGGGCCTTTGGAGGCCATTTGGGTGAACTACGTGAGGCTTGATTCCTTGGGCAATAGGATACGTAGGCAGTCAGTTTGATGCAGCCAGTTTGATGAATTTATACCGACACAATGGTAGAGATTATTAGAGTTCTCATTTGGGTTCCCGACTTGTTGTGGATTGAGTTCGTTATTATGGATTGAGTTTACTTCGTACTTGACGCAACAAGTGGGATGGTTGGTATCGAGGTAGGCTCAGTTTTGGGAAAACTTCACTGAGGTAGAGAATTGTTGAAAAATCGGGTTTTCGGTGAACAGTGTCATCTGTTGACTTATGACAGGCATAAGTCGACTGATGAAATGCCCTGGAATTGTGAAATTTTTTCTGCTCAGTCGACTAATAAGCGATCAGTCGACTGATGATCTGATCAGTCGACTGATTAAGGTTTGTGCAGTTTTTTGTGCATGTTATCAGTCGACCAATGCTTCACATCAGTCGACTGATGACGGGTTCCTGGGCTGTTATTTGTTTCCTGTTTAGTGTTGGATTAAGTGTTTGTATAAATACAAGCACGTTTTTTAGGGTTTATTTATGAGAGTATTGGCAGCCTTTTGACCACTTTGAGTGGGAGAATTTGTGAGGGACTTGAGAGTTTTGATTTAGGGTTATATTTGTGAGATTATTGAGTGATTATAATCTCTATTTGCACTCTTTCTCCCTTTATTAGTGAAATCTATCCCCTCCTTACCCCGTGGACGTAGGCACATTGCCGAACCACATAAATTCGGTGTCTTGCTTGTGTGGTGCTTGGTTTGGTTGTTGATTTGTTCTCCTATCTTGTTTGTGTTTTCGATTCCGCTGCGCACAACAGTAGCTTGTAAACCTTGGTTGAAATTTATCTGCACAAAATGCTAGTTGCCTATATGTATTGAATAGTTACTAGTAAATAAAATAAAATTTGTCATCGATCCAAAAATACTAGGAATAGACCCTTGTCTCTAAAATCGTAGCTATAGGAAACATTTTTTATATTTGAGAATCGAACTTAGGACCTTGGGAGTCATATTAGAATCTCCCAACCATCTGAATCACTCACGATTTCCCTATAGAAAACTAATATTAAATTTGTATTTTACATATTTACTATTTTTTAGCTATTTCACTTTTCCCTCCATCTTAAAATTTGAGAACATATACCCTGGTAATCTCAAGGCTACGTACTGACCCTCTTAGTGTTTCATATAGAATAAGAAAGTGTTGGTTGTAATATGGATCTAGCATCTTCATGGTGCAACATAAATATTGATTTTATCAGAATCCCACATAAAGTAGGGATATCAGTGCCATTCAGGGATGGGTAGAGGGTTAGTTTGGAAATTTTATCCCTAAACTTTATGGTTAAAACATATCCACTCCTGTAGAGATTGTATTAATATGATCCTTTCTCGTGCAAGGTCCGAGAAAGTAGATCCATATTAGAGTTTATTAAACTGGGCTCTCTGAGAGGACATGAGACTTGAGAATAAGATGTGCTGGTGGATGATCATTCGTCATTCACATTATGATTTTGCTCGAATCTATATAGCGGTGCTTTCTTAGTATGCATCATACCTTAATGGATTGTTTCCAAATAAAACGTTTTAAAAGAAGTGAAAATGGTCAACGTACACACTGAGTTACAACCTGAGTTTACACTTAATATATTGCTTTGTCATTAAATATGTGGTACTTTCATTTTTCATACCTTTATGCTTTTTCTTTCTTAATCTAGTCCTATAATGCCTTTATATGGGTTTTCTGACCCTTAATTTCATCACAATACTCGTTACATTAGCTATCTTCTTCATTTTCACTACTATAAATGCTCCTATTAGCAACAGTATCTTATTTAACTGTTGCTATTAGAACATACTAGCAACGGTTATTGTGGTTTGTTTTTATTAGAAACGGTTCTCTAATTAATAAGAATTAAATCTCTTTAAAAAATTGTTATAAATAAACTATGTAAAATCTTAAAAATCCAATGTGGATTCAAACAGAAACTAAAGAAGATTTTGCAATGGTAAAAAATTGGAGAAAAGGGAAGTAAATCGTGCGGATGATTTTCTCTTGCGGAAAAAAAGAGAGGGAAGGATTAGGGGCGACAAAAAATTTGGGGAAAGTTAGAGGGAATTCTAGGGCGCCTAAAATTAGAGAAAATAAAAAATAAAACGACCCCTTTCATATAGAAAGTTTCATTCGCTTCTGATTCCGCCCCCTCAAAGCTCTAACCCTAGCCCTCCTGCCGCCGCTGCCATGACCACCCGCTTCAAGAAGAACCGCAAGAAGCGCGTCCACGTCAGCGCCGACCATGGCCACATCGGCAAGCACTGCAAGCACCCCGACGACCACGGTAACGCCGGAGGAATGCACCACCACCGGATCCTCTTCGACAAGTACCACCTCGGCTACTTCGGCAAGGTCGGCATGTGCTACTTCCACAGGCTATGCAACAAATTCTACTACCCCGCCGTCAACGTTGAAATGCTTTGGTCTTTGGTCCCGATTAGGGTTCTTCTCTGTAGGGTTTTTTGAGGGTTAGAGTTTTCTATGGAGATGGGATTCGACGCCATGGCCAACGACTCTCCAATGGTTCCCGCGGATGCGAGGGAAACCGGGAAGAAGAAGAGGGTAAGCTATCGGTTCGAATTTCAAAATCGAATTTTTGGGCATTTTTTGGATTTTTGAGGATTTATTGTTTGTTTGGGTGTTTGTAGGAGAATAGGTCGGCGAAATTGAAGCAGTGTAAGCTTGATGCGATGAGGGAGCAATGGCTTTCTCAAGGTATTTTAATTTAATGTAGTTTATTTTAAATTTTCGAAATTGGATGTTTTTGTTAATTTTAGGGTTATTGTTTATTGCATGTTGAACAATCGAATCCCTTTGGTAATTTTTCTATTTATCCTGTGAATATCGTTGTCGTTCACATGTAATTTGTGTGGACATTTGGGGGAATTGGATCAACTCGATGCTGTCTTGTCAATTTGATATTTTTCCTGTGCTTTTGAGATGATTGATTCATGATACATAATATCTTACTATTTTCTTCTTATTCTTTGAGATTTGAGAATTAAATTTGTTACTAGGTTATTTTTCTCTCGCATATGAGAAAAAAGGATCTATTTTCTTGACTTAAAAAAATCTCTTCGTACTTTTGCTTTTGCTTATCTTTATATTTTTTTAGTTGGAAAAAGTGATAAATTATCTTATTTCTTTTTTCACTTGGCAGAGTTGGATCCTAAAAATTATGATGAGTTTAATGTATTTGTTAAGTTCCATAAAAGAAAGATTGGGTCTTGGAGATTATCCACATGAGGATACCAAAGATGTTTGTGTAAGTTTTATTTATGATTCTTCTTCCTTAAAAATATTTCTCTTAGGTTACGATACCAAAGATGTTTGTGTAAGTTTTATTTATGATTCTTCTTCCTTAAAAATATTTCTCTTAGGTTACGAATCTAAATTTTTGACGATATTTCTATGAGGTTATGAGGAAAGGAGTTAAGATAAGGTTAAGAGGAGGTACATATGAGAAAAGGAGATCTTACAACTTAGCCTATGAATGTTATTCTGTTAAATTTATTGCACTGTTAATCCTAGTCGTAGAATGCTTTCATAAAATGTTCCATCTAGAATGTCTATTGGCTCTATTATTGCAATAGAGGTAACTCCGGTACCATCTTATAGGAAGAAAACAGAGCTCGTGATCTCTTTTATGCCCTTTGGATACCTGATCTTTTCATGGAGAGGGTCCAAAATTATGGGCAGTACCCACTATTTTGCCCTAATGAAGCTTCGGGATTGGCTGATTACTGGGGCGAGGAGTTTGAAAAGCTATACACAAAATATGAGAGAGGTAAACCTTTCTTCTAGTTTTCATAGTCTGAGTTGAGGTGTGAGAATCAGCAGTTAAAATTTTCTGTTATATCTGAAGGGCCAAAAAAGGTTGTTCAAGCACAAAGCCTCTGGTTTGAAGTTTTGAAGTCTCAGATAGAAACTGGAACACCATCTATGCTATATAAGGTATCACGAAAACATCCAGAATGCTTTACCAAATTTTTTTTTGCATTTTTTATGAGTATTATTATTTTTATATGTAGGATAGTTGCAATAGGAAAAGTAATCAACAGTACCAGGGGACCATAAAGTCTTCAAACTTGTGCACTGAAATAATAGAGTTTACAAGCCCTGCTGAAACTGCTGTGTGCAATTTAGCTTCCATTACATTACCACGGTTTGTTAGGGTAAGGTACTGAATCTTTTTACGTTTATGGAAAATGTCTTAATCAAGTTTGCATAGCAATCATGGGTAATTTTATTCTATTTTATTTTTCAGGACGTTCCTATAGAATCACACCCATCTAAGTTCGTTGGAAGCATTGGATCAAAGAATATATACTTTGATTTTGACAAATTGGCTGAGGTTTGTTTCTTATGGTATTTAGTGATCTTGTCCTATTATCACATACATTGTTTGATTGCATTTATTCACTTGACATAACAGGTTACAACAATAGTTACAGAAAACCTCAACAAAATAATCGATGTTAATTATTACCCTGTTGAAACTGTAAGAAGATCGAATATGAGGCATAGGCCAATTGGCATTGGTGTCCAGGGTTTGGCTGGTACCTTCATCTTGCTTGGCATGCCTTTTGATTCACAAGAGGTAGTTGCTAATTTTAAGTGATTCCTCAAGGGTTCTTGATTTCAGTGCTATTAAAGCAAAATGTAAGTAGCATTTGTTGTCTATGCAGGCTCAAAAGCTGAACAAGGACATATTTGAGACAATATATTATCATGCTTTAAAAGCTTCTTCAGAAATTGCTGCAAAAGAAGGCACATATGAGACATATCAAGGAAGTCCCGTTAGTCAGGTGTGTGTCAGCTTCTGCTTGTTACTAGCATTTAAACAATTATTCCATGAAACCTCATATGTTGAGGCATCAATCTTATGAAAATTATCTTGAGTATTCTGACATAATATTTACTTGCAATTCCTTAAATATAAGGATTTTGGTTTGATATCATATTGATAATATGAAAACATCTAGTTAATATATATGTCATGAGTGGTTCATGATTATATGATTATATCTTTTAATACAATATTAACCTGCAGAAATGGATAAGAGCTCTATCTACTCAAAATGCGTTGGTGCTCATGCCTCTAAGATTGCCTAATCTAAAAATTTTCATTGTGAGCCTTGAGAGAATGTTAGTGACAATGCCCTGGAACATCCTTTGGGAAAATTAGTGTACAAATATGTGTAGCCTAGATCAATATAAAGTTTCACTCCACTTGACATTATTTATAGTGTTTTTTCGTATGTAATGGTATTCATGTATTTGAAGTTGTGTTATCCTTTTATATAATATTTTTGATGCTATACATGAATATTTTAAAACTATAACTATTTGTGAATATAATGTCAATAACTATTAAAATCTGTAAAGGCTTGAATTTTCTTTTTTCTATTTCTAAATTTCTATTACTTTTGGCAGGCATGGCATGATATGGATGGAGGTTGCAAGGTGATAGATGGTGAAGGGGAGATTAGTTTGGTGCGATGCAGTGGGAAGAAGAAGCCAGAGACGTGATGAAGGAAAGGCTTGCAACGTTGATAAGACATAGTGCGATGCAGTGGGAAGAAGAAGCCAGAGACGTGATGAAGGAAAGGCTTGCAACGTTGATAAGACATAAGGCACACTGTAGTCTTTATTGTTCAAGTCTACATAATCATGGTTTATTTCTTTTCTGCTGTAGGTATTATGGGTAGGTTTTGATTTATTAGATTTGCATTTCAAATTTAGAGGCCGAGAGTGCGGAGCGATGAACCATGTAAACCTATGGTCTAAAGAAGTACAGGCTTTGTAATTAGCATATTGTTGGATTTGTTAATAAAACATGTGTCAAACACTTGTTATTTGTTTAATAGAATTGCGTTTAAATTTATTTACAAATGTTATTATTTGTTTTATTTTAATTATTGTGAAAATAAGCATGATATTTACGTGGTTATTTTAGCTGTTAATATGCTTTAGCAATTATTAGGATTTCTAACGTGAACATTTTATTATTTTATAGAATTAAAAGTTAATCCTTATAGCAATGGTTGCCTCCCGTTGTTAATACATTATAGCAATGGTTGAGATTTGTTGATGTGGATTTTTTATTTTTTTATTAAAAAATAATCTAATAGTAACGGTTGTTACTTTTGCAACGGTTGTACACCATTGCTATAAGCTAATTACAACGGCCTTATTAGTAACGGACTAATTGCAACGGTTTTAACCGTTGCTAATCTATTAGAAACAGTCCATACCATTGCTAATAGGCTTATTAGTAACAGTTTGAACCATTACTAATAAAGTCTTTTGTAGTAGTGTTTACATGCTTGCTTGAATGCTTTCTGATAGTTCTGATTGCGCATCTAGCTACAGAGCCTTGAGGACTATCTTTCTCTTATTGATCGCATGTACTCAGTTATTGTCTTTCTAGTGTGTCAGAATATTCTTTATCATGTATCTTCCGTTCCTCTTTCCTAAACATTGTTACTATCATATCTCCGATTATGTGATATTTGATGTAGGACGCTTAACGGAAAATTTCATGGAGGATTCGGACAATCACTTGCTAAATACAGATTTATACGTATTATTGACTTCCGCAAAGAAATAATCATATCTTCCAACCCGGAAGGTATATATATATATATATCGCCTATCTCGATGAGACGGATCCAACCAGATAGTCAGATTTTTAAAATCTCATCAATAATACCTAGTTTTGACCGAAATCCGAAAATAATCAGCTTTTAGTTTATTTTTAGTAATAAAGTTGGAGTTTATTTAGATTAGAAAATTAATTTCAATATTACAGTCAAATTAGATTAGGAAACAAATTTAATTTTGATTCATAATTTGTTTCCTATATTATAAGGTGTCTTTTTAGGATAGAATTTGATATTTTCTATTTATTTGTAATTCTAGTCTTACTAGGAGTCTTGTTTCTAATTAGGAAGAATCATGTAACTCCAAAGAATAATATTTTTTATTAATGAAAATTTCTCTTTAATATTTTTTTCATGGATTCGAAGTTCTTCATGGATTCAGAGATTGTTCTTTGTGCATTCAAAGAACAATCCTTGGTGGATTCTGAGGTTTTTACTTCTGTGCTTCATTAATTAGTATCAGAGACTTATTTTTCTGATCCAATGTCAGGCGATGAAGCCCCTATTTCTCGAACTATGTTCGATGAGTTGAAGACCGATGTTAATCAGATTAAGACTACCGTAGATCGACTTACATCGGCAATGGAGTGTCTGAATACAGTAGGAGTTCAAAATCACGTTGATGATCGCCAACGACGCGACCTAACTCCACAAGATGAATTCAACGGCGATAGCGATTACTATGAAACCCCACACCACGGTTATGATCGCATAGACTGCCGATGACAGGACAAATATGACGCTAGAGGATTAAAGATATCATCCTTCAATGGAAAGCTTCATGGTGATGATTTCCTTGATTGGATTGATGAAGTGGATAAGTATTTTGAGTATGAGTAATTCTAGAAGATTGAAAAGTTAAATTAGTAGTTTACAGACTTAAAGGAAAAACATCTACATTGTGGGATGAAATATTGATAAATCGAAACCATCAAGGGAAGGATCCGGTTCGAAGGTGGGCAAAGATAAAGAAATTATTGAGAAATAGTTTCTTGCCTTCTAACTACAAATAATGTCAGGTGTCTTTGAAAGATTCTTTTACTTTAGCCAACACGGTTTGTTTAGCGAAGAAGGTGGAGTGAGAACTTGAGCAGAATGACAAAGGACCTTCATCATGGATATTTTTTAGAGAGTTATCAAACTAGTTATAATTATGGTGTCACGCCCCGCTTCCCAAAATACCGAGGAATCAGAACGTGAACAATCCCACGATATTAGATTGAGGAGAATAAATAAAAATAAAAATTTCTTCTCAACCTAATACGCTAAGCGTCAAACAATATACAATGCGAAGTCACAGGTTCCTGATCACAATTAGCAAGAATATAATGAACAACTCAGAATGGAAAAGAGACATATCACAAATAGAATATCATCCGAGACAGAGAGTTTCGGTCAAACATGCCCTTTTTACAAAACAGTCCAAATAAGTACTAAAGAAATATGAAAATACACCGTTTAATAGGAATAGAAAGGAAGTATTACAAATAATAAACTAAGGACCATCAAATAACTAAGGAAATAGCTAAGGTTCAACTTGTTCTTCTGCTCCGTCTGCAAGGCACTCCTGCTGAGAATCCTCTGGCTCCTGTATGATTCTGAACTGAGGCTGTCCTTCTCCTAAATCTGACGTACACCAAAGAAAATAGGTGTAAATCAGCGTGCATGGCACACTACAAGATAGAGAGAAATAAAAACGATCGAACGACCAAGGGAAAAAAGAGTAATAATAATAGTAGAAGCATGCTACTGGAATACTAATAATCTAAATACAATCTATCACTAGAATATAATAATCAGAAGAATCCAAGAAAATTAACCAAGTAACAAGTCGATCATGCAGCTAACGATCAGAATAATCATCCAAGTAACAAGGTCATGCAACTAAATAGAATTAATACTTAAAAATCTATAACAAGAGACGTAGTACGTCGAGTGAAATAATCCAAACAAGGAAACCCGTAGTACGTCGAGTGAAATAATCCAAACAAGGAAACCCTCATGTATATACCATATGTCTCAAATTATAGATAATTAACCCTCATGTATATACCATATGTCTCAAATTATAGATAATTAAATATTAATCCTGATCTATGTATGAAAACAAATACAACTAGCCTACATCTCACAAGAATTCATACTTAGTCAAGAAACGAGGTCATGTAACTAGCCATCCTATAACAGGTCACCGGTTCACATCTCACACAGAGTCAACGTTCATATTCTCGGATAACTAACTGTACGTATATCCCCTACGTGCATCCAATATCGCTACACAAACTCGGTCAGAGGACTACACGCAATCCGTTTTCAGCTTGGTCCGGACTTAAGCTAAACTCAGATGAATATCAAACTCACGGACCAAAGTGACTACACAAACTTCACTTTGACCCAACAAAACAACCCCAATGGCGACACCGATCCACTGGTGGGAGCCTGAAAGATATATCAACAGTCTTATCCGATTACATGAACATATACTTTTCCACCCCAACATCTCTTGTGTTTCTAAGTCATCAACAAACAAGCCTCTAGGTCTTATTCATGTCACACATGTCACTATAGTTATAAACTCCTAACGATTCTCAATCACAATAAGGAATAATAAATGCAGCTAATTCTATACAATAAAATTATGGCATGTCACATAATTGAAATAAGAATCATGGAATCGGTGGATGATTTGCACATAAAATGGCACGGTCAACAACCATCAATCACACGATCATAAACTAAATTAATTCAAAATAAATAATTCTTTTGAAAAATACATTCCATTCAAATTATCTCTCACCATAATTATTCTAAAAATAATCTCTTAAAATAATAAATTCATAAATTCAAAATAATCTTTTAAAAATAAATTCAAGATAAATTCTCATTAATTCAAAATAGTCTATTTTTTCAAAATAAATTCTTTTAAAAATATTTATCATTCTAAAATGATTTCCTTCTACAAAATAAATTCAAAAAATATTATAATTATTCTAAAACACTATTTATCATATAGTTACGATTCATTTAATACTATTCATAGACCCACGTAGATAATTATTAACAACTCTAAAAATTGTATGAAATAAACTAACGGAACGAGGACCTTGCACATAATAATTTTTGATAATTTAAAAATTAAAATAAATAACAAACGAGATTGGGGATCATGCCTAGGGGTTTCGTCGAATGAATCAACGTTGTCGGTGTGGCGCGTCGATGCTGAAGGGGCGACAGATCTGGCCAAGAGGGTCAGCGTTGACGATGGGGCAGCGGCGCGAGGGAAGGCGAGAGAGGTTGCGGGTGTCGGGTACTGGCGATGGAGCTCAGGCAGGAGGATAGAGAAAGGTTGTAGGGGACATGGGTGCGGATCTGGGTGGTTCGTAGGATGTCGAGGGGTTACGGGGCTGCGGGCGTGGTGGTGTAGAGGGCGGAGCTGAGGGGATGAGACTGCAAGAGGAGGAGCCGGACGAGGGCTGAGGTAGTGGAAGGGCGACTGCAATGGGAAGGGCGAGCAGGATCTTCTGATTTTTCCAACAGTGAGTCTATTCGTCGACACCGGCTGTCGGGCTGCTCTCCAGCTAGGGAGGCGCGGGTAGAGGGGGGCAAGCGCTGGTGATGGGCAATCGTGGGGGAGGGCTCGACGGAAAGAGGAGGAGAAAGCTGCAGTGGCTCGAGGGGTTGTGAGGCGATAGCGGGCAAAGAGGGAATGGAGGCAGTGATGGTTGGCCGAGATGAGTTAACTCAGGAGCTTGGCGGTGAGGGCTTGTGGGAGAAATGGGTGTGGAGACGTGTGGGGGCCCCTAGGAGCGGGAGAGGGAGGTCGAGGATAGGCGGGGGAAGCTCGACGGAGAGAGGAAGAGGGCGAAGGAGACGTCGGGGTGGTTGTGGGCGAGTGCAGTGAGACGTAGATAGGAGGCAAGTGGGAGGGGGTCACAGCATAATGCGGGCTGAGGGAGGGGTGTGGTGATGGAGCGATGAAGGGGGCTGGCGGAGAGAGAAAGAGAGCAGAAAGAAGAAGGGGCGGCGGATTTGGTGAGATGAAAACGATATAATATATATATATAGTATATATATATATATTATATAATATATCAGTATAATATTATATATGATAAGTATATATATATATATATATATATATTCTATATTATATATATATATATAATATACAACGTTTATTATTAAATAATACACAATAGTAGTAATAATACAAAAACTTGTA